AGTTTCTGATTTATTTCTATTACCGGATTCGACATTTCCACTGCAAACGTGCGTGCGCCGGGCACGGTTATAATACGAGGCAGGCGGCAAGGCTGAACAAATCAAGGCCAGCAGGAAACGCCAGCGACCGACTCTGATGATGCAAACGAGAGTGTTTCCGAAACGTCAGTTTGAATACACTCTGGTCCATGAAATCGCCTTCTCTTCTTCATCTTCCTCGGGGATGACAAACACGGTAATATATCTGGACCTCGAATCTTCACGCATATATATATATATATATATATATATAGGCAGAATGCTATTACCGACAAAGACAAGGGAGACTGGACTGGAATGGCCATTTCTGGCTTATTAGCCGTCGTCAGCCAGCCATACCCAAATCCGAAGTGTGGAACACCCGAGCCTCGAACTCGCGACCTGTTGGTTTAGAAGTCCACGCCTCTACCCACCGGGCCACGAACCCGTTGCCCTGTCAGTTTTCGATCGGGAATATACAATGGTAGGGACGCGCACCGATCGATCATACGGAACTCACTCGTTCCGTTGTGCCTTAAGGGCTCTCTCTCGAGCCCAACCAGCAGCCGCACAGCGGCGCATGATATATAGGCAGAATGCTATTACCTACCATTGTATATTCCGGATCGAAAACCGACAGGGCGACGGGCTCGTGGCCCGGTGGGTAGAGGCGTGGACTTCTAAACCAACAGGTCGCGAGTTCGAGGCTCGGGTGTTCCACACTTCGGGCTTGGGTGTGGCTGGCTGACGACGGCTAATAAGCCAGAAATGGCCATTCCAGTCATGTCTCCCTTGTCTTTGTCGGTAATAGCATTCTGCCTATATATCATGCGCCGCTGTGCGGCTGCTGGTTGGGCTCGAGAAAGAGCCCTTAAGGCACAACGGAAAGAGTGAGTTCCGTATGAACGATCGATGCACCCGTTGTGGCACGAACACAGTTGTGTGCGAACACTCTACAGAAGGGCAGAAACACACTGCAGCGAGCCGGACGACAGAAAGTCAGAACTACGCTACCTCCAGCGCCTCTTCGTGTCCAACGGGTATCCGCGCAACTTCATCGAACGCAGCAGACAGGCCGGACTGAGCCGACGTTTGGAAACAGAAGGGCCAAAAATATGGCGGACGCTTCCATACATCGATGGCGTTTCTGAGGCGGTCTCCCGTCTCTTAAGGCCGCTGGAGATCGGCATCGCCCACCGACCGGAGTCAACAATTCGACATCTGGTCATGAGGCCTAAGGCCCCTCTGCCACCAGGTGAAACCACGAACGTCATCTACCGGATCCAGTGTAACTCCTGTGAAGCCAACTACATTGGGGAGACGGGCAAACGACTACAGACCCGTGTTGGAGAACACATGAGGGCAGTAAGGCGAATGGACCCTTTGTCACTGGTGGCCGAACACTGCGCCGATTCCGGACACACGTTCGCCTTTCAGCACGTCAAAATTCTGGGCCGAGGAAGCGACCGCATAGCCAGGGAAACAATCGAGGCTTGGCACACAGGGACAACCTCAATCAACCGTTGTGTGGCTCTTCCCGCTGCCTATCAAGCCCTTCGAGCACAGCTCAGTAAACAAATGAGCAGACGTGAACCCAGGCTAATCACGAATCCAGACATGAATGAGTCCATGGCGGATGCACACTCAGCCACCCCTCAACCTGGTTCCGACGAAGGCGCAGTCCTCACTACAGCCGGTCCATCTACTAGTCCGGCGGATGAGAAAACGGACAGTCGTTGCGGCGCAAACAAGATTGCCAGCCTTGGACGACAGTTAAGGTCAACGAAGGTACGGGCGACGACCACCAACGTCTCAACGCCGGCCCCGATGTAGATTGAGTACTTCCCGTCACCCTCCCTCCCCCCCCCCGTCCGCCACAGTCCCTGTGTGCATGCGCTGGTGACCACTAAAGCTGATCCACCGCCCCCTCCCCCTTCATCCGGCGAGAAGACGCTCTAGGACTCCCTCCCTGCCGCCCTGACTTCGTATGTATGAACAAAACCCGTCTCGACATGACTGTCACCCACCTATAAATACTGTGAGGCGCGATACTACACTCACTTCCGACGATGGAAGCTTGTATGCTTTTGAAACGTCCGGACAGTAAAACTATGGTTCCCGAGATCGCCTTTTCTTCTGATTTATGTCCGGGGACGCGCATCTTCGCTTCTATTAGCAATATATAGTGGTAGGGGGCGCTCACCGATCGTTCATACGGAACTCACTCGTTCCGTTGTGCCTTAAGAGCTCTCTCTCGAGC